TGCTCAATGTGATGTGGGTAGGGTGGGAGGGCGGCCCGGTGCAGCTCGGGGCAGAGCAGGCGGGGAGACCCTGAGGTAAAATGGGGTGAGGCTCTCGCACGGAGCCTCAGCAGCATGTGTGAAAACCTGCTGTTTGCTTTTCCCCTTTCTCCTGGGATACAGAGAAAAGATTTCAAAGCTATCTAAAACGGAGAGAACGAAACGCTATTTATTGCCACTCCTTACCAAATCCCCGGGCACTTGTAATAAGCTAGGAGGAAGGATGAATGCTCGAGCAGGTGGCCAAACATCTCCTAAAGAAGAGCAGTACTCATGCAGGGTGTTTACATCCCGCTCTGAACTAGAAGAATTTCTTTCGTGCCAAACCACAAGCTGCTGGTTGAAACTTGAACTGAACTTCCTTGATTTTCAGAGGAGCTCAGTTAACACTTTCAAAACAGCTATTTTTCTTTTTTGTACCTCTCCAAACTTGCTGGGACAAGAACCAGATGTACTAAAATACAGAGAGTTCCTGTTTTTGGGGCATTGCTGACCCAATCCCAAGCAGCAAGCATCAGTGAGTACACTTAAAAAAAGGTCGCTTTCTCTTAAAAGGTTCCCTGTTGTTTCCTTTGAGGCTCATATGTTCTGTGTGGTTCACATAAATACTTCATTTCTGGCTGTCTGTGTTTAGCTAAACAGAGTTCTGAATCCTTTTGAATCTAGGCCTTCATGTGAGAAAGCCTCATATTTTTCACATGATTCAGCCTTGTGCCTTATTATGAGATGAAATGCTGCTAATTTACGCACTTCTAACATATGCAAAGGCTGCATATCCCCCAGACCATAGTGTGTAGAGATCTGCCAGTTCTGGCTTTACCCTCACTGATACCAGTAATGCATCTGCATACACTTTGGCTACCAAGTCAGTTCGTGAGCTCCTCGGTGTTTAGTACAGCCCATGCTAAAATCCATAGCCTTACTGCTATTGGCACACAAGCTAGGTAGCTAGCGGTTGCTTGGGTGTGCTCACATGTGCTGTAGTTACACCTTCAGTTACAGTGCAGACGTTTGGCTGCTGTTTGTATCTCAGTGGAGGTTTTAATGGATGCTAGTCTGGCAATGACTTACTCATGCAGAAAATGGTTCTAAATACTGCGGTGCATCTGTGACTAAGTATGAAGTCTCACAAAGCTCAGAGCAATATGCTGGGAAATAGCCAGATGGAAATAGTCCATCAAACACCACAAGAAAAATCCAGTTGCTTGCAGCGCATCTCTTGGTCACTGTGCAAGTTAGGGAGGCTTTTATGTGTTCTCTGATGCTGAGCAAATCTCTAAGCACTAATGCAGAATTGCCAGCAGGTTCAAAACAATCAGCAACATCACGTTTCTTGGCCTGTTTTGTGGATTGCTCAGTTAGTTCAAGAATTCTGTTCGAGGCCCTGTAGCTCCTTTCAGGATTGCTGGAGGCCAACAGGCTGTTTGTAGGGCTAGAAGCACCAGAGGTTTGAGTAAGACAAATGCAACAAAACAGAACTGCTATATTTTTAGCAACTGGCAGTGAGAAGGGCAGGGAAGAGCATGTTTTCAGTAGGTTAACTCCATCCAGTTTCCTTAGGGCATGTTAGGATTCCTTAATGAAAGAGGAGACAGGATCAAAACTGGAGGATGGCAGGTACTGGAATCTGTCAAAAGGAGTCTTGAGATACTACTCCCTATACACAGACTCACTGCAAGGAACGTGGGAGAGCAGTGCTGCCTAGTAATGGCAAAACTTTTGTCTTTCCAGATAATGCTATGTGTCTTAATGCCTTCATATCCATAGTTGAATGATTTATGAGGAACAAGGGCTCTCATTTTAAACAGATTTCTAACCATCACAGTACTGAAGAGAATCTTGGGCGTAAACATAAAAGGCTCTGAAATATGGAGGCATGAAATTCACTTTTGGGGGTGGTGGGCAGGAAGTGTTACT